TGGATGGATGGATATGTACCACATGAGTGCCTGGTGCTCACAGAGGCTATAAAAGCATATCAGATTCCCTGGTACCAGTTAGTTAGTTGTGTGCTCCCATGTGGGAACTGAGCCTGGGTCTTCTATAAGAACAGCAAATGCTCTTAACTGCTGAGCCACCTCTTCAGTCCCTGGGATCTTTTCATTTGCTACTCTGTATGCCAGGCTACGCAGATTCCTGTGTAGTCCTGCTACCTGTCAACAGAAGCACGGAGAAACCCAATGCACACTACTGTGTCCAGCTCTCTGGAGATTCTAACTCAGGCCCTTGCATGCTTTTACCTACTAAGCCATCTCCTCAGCCGCCAAACAGCACTTTGAAACATTCATGTCTATTACTTTCTTCAGTACACATTTACTAAGCAAATACAATGTCCTCAGTGGTATTGGGCCAATAGCAGGAAACTAAGCTGTGGAATTACTAAGCAATAAGCCCTAAATCCAAAAGTTCTATAGTCTGATGAAGAATGTAGCTGGGAGAAGCCCAGCTACATGGTAAGAACTGCCTGACAGAACAAGAGGAAAGAAGACTACAGCCACTGGACGTGGAGGGGGAAAGTCGAGGACAGCCTCCCCAAAGGATGGCTTGAAGAGGCTGGAGGGATGAGTGGTATCCATCTATGGATGGGAAGTAAAACAGAATCCCAGAACGAGGAGAAACAGTCACGGTAAGCTAACACTCCTAAGTTCAAGGCTATCTTCAGCTACACAGGAACCTCATGGTTAGCCACAAAAACAAACACACAAAAGCAGCAAGAGTAAGTAAGGAAAGCTGTTGGGGCAAAATAGTTGTAGGTTTTCCTGCTGCTTTACTGACAGGTCTTACTGGTTAAGGCAGCAGGGAAGCGGATGAGATTTGCTATAGCCACAAAGAAGGCAGCATTTTCTACTGAATGGACCAAGATTCCAACTCTGCATGGTCAACTCATATTTTCATCATCAAGGGTTTTCTACTTGTAAAGACTGCCTGGCACAGAGACTCAGCCAGTGCTACATAGCAAACGCTGTCTCAAAAAAGAATAAAAGATCCTGCCTACACAGACAGGATGCACTGACTTTTAAAGGCCAATGCAAAATGGGTTGTGTTGGTACTTGCCTATATTCCCAGCATCTGGGAGGCAGAGGCTAGAGGATCACTTGCAAGCTCAAGGATAGCCCTAGCTACATTAAGTGCCAAGTGAGCCAGGGGTACATAGTGAGACTCAAACAAACGAATGCATGCTAATTCAGTCAGCTGGGCTTGGTGGTACTTACCTGTACATGATCGCCAATACTCAGGGGGTAGAGACAGGAGGATTTAAAGTTCAAATCAACCTGCCAGGACTACAGAGTGAGCTCAAGGCTAAACAGAACAACTTAGCAGGACTCTGTTTCATAATGTAAAAATTTTTGAAAGATAATTAAAAAAAAAAAAAAAAGCTGAGTCTGGAAAGATGGCTCAATGGTGACAAGTATTTGCTGCTCATCTAGGCCCGGGATTTGTGTCCAGCATTCACGTTAGGTGGCTCACACCTGCCATAACTCCACATCTAGACGATCCAATGCTCTCTTTGAGACTTCAAAAGCACTACACTCAAGTACACAAATGCACATCCAAATTAACCATACACAAACAACAATAAATTGTTTGTTTGTTTGTCAGGTGTGGTATTGTAACCTAGAAGGCAGAAACAGGAAGATCGGGGAGACATTTGAAGCCAGCCTTGGCTGCACACGGAGTCTGAAGCTAGTCTGAGCTCCGGTCTCAAAAAAACAAAAATCAGGGCCCTGTTGGGGCTCAGTGGATAAAGTACTTGCCTTGAAAACCTGATGACCTGAGTTTGGTTCCCAGAATCCACATAAAGGAGAAAAGAGAGTACCAACTCCACAGAGTTGTTCTCTGACCTCCATAGGAGTAACATGGCACACATGTGTACACATACACACGCGCACACATACAACACCATACACACTGCACGAACTGCTTGTATTGGGTTCAATGTCCTGTACTTGTTTCACCTAAATCTAACACTCCAGTAACATTACTTTGAACACCCTTCCATAATCTTGGGGAGAAATACAGAATTCTCATCCCCAAGTTTGTTTAACTTCATTTTAATTTGATATGCTCCTCATACTTCATGAAAATGAAGAAAAACCATGGCAGTGAGAGATTATCACCAATTTAGAATAAGTAAGGACCAAGAAATAACTCACAGAAATGACCAGGAGGCAGGGAGGTCTACAGCCATAGTGGAAAGTGCCCACCTAGCATCGTGAGACCGGGTTCACTACGGCTTGCCACCACATTCAGATACTAGCTAGCTAGGAGCAAAGGGTTCCTCCTGAACCGGGCTGTTGAGTGAATTCTTCACTTGACTAAAGGGGTGGTCTTAGACAAATTACTTAAACTCTCCTCGGGTTCTCCAAAATGGAGGTGATCCCACAGTTGAGTCCTACATATTTCATTGCTATAGGAATCACATAAAGAATCTCCAGAGGCCAGTGTAAGGAAGCAAACCTATAATTCCAGCACTCAGGAAGCTGAGACAGGAGGATCCCTCTAAATTAAGATTCTAGCCTGGTCCCAAAGCTATCCAGGGGATTCATGGTGAAGCCCTGTCTAGACAAGAACAAAAAATGTAACCCCAGAAAGTCAATTCAACAGTGGTGAAGAAACCAGGGCTCTCTAACACTCTGAAACTAGAACCCATCTCTAAGACCTACAAACTTAACAGAATTCTTTACTTTTGGAGTCAGGGTCTTACTCTTAGCCCTCCCTAGCCTCAAACTCATGACAATCCTCCTGCTTCAGTCTCCAGCTGCTGGGATAGCAGGTGTGAGCCACCAACTTCAGCTTCTACAAGCCTTCTGATCATAGTAAAACTGATCTCTCTCCCCAAGACTGGAATGGAGAAGTATTCACTTAACGCTGGTGTCCTCACCTGGAATCCTTCCTTTTAGGCTAGCAAATGGGGGAAGACACAAGGCTGACCCTCTACTGGAAAACAGCACAAGCCAGACCTGTGCTCCCAGTGGAAGGAACCAGAAGCCTAATGCACACTGGGCAAAGCTCTCCAAGAACCCTAAACAGCACAGGTACTGTTCACTGCCCCTAAGGCTACACCGAAGTGCAAGTCCAGACAAGGGCCCAGAAAAAGAACTGTTTATTGACCAAGTTCCACAAGGGGAAGGCCTAGCAGATACTCCTTCCCCACTATGTTTCAGCATTCAAACTCCCAACTCCCCCACACACACACTTTGTGATTTCAATCACGGGTATAATAAGGCAAAATTAAATTGTCTAAAACAGCCCAAAATGCTGTGAGACTCCAACAACAGGTGGGAACCTCTCCAGGGACAGGTGTCTTGACAGACTAGGGCTACAGCAGTCGAAGTTCCCTAGGGACATACAGAAGGAAATTCCCTTTGCAGAGCATCAGCTTCCTTCCACCCAGCCTGACAATGAACGCCACAGGATAAAAGGCCATTTAAAAACAAACGAGGGCTGGGCAGCAGCTCAGTAACCCAGCTCTTGCTTGTCTGGATGTGCCAGGCCCTGGGCGCGAACTCCAGAACCAAAAACAACAACAAAAAACCCAGGGAGATTTCTTACAGAGGTACACAGGATTTTGCCACCTGCTACAAGAGCTCTCTAAGCCGCCCAGTGGCCCAGTCCTGAGTCACTTCCCCTCTCTGCACTCTAGAGTGTCAATGCTCATGGGGGAGAGGGAGTGGTAGACACACAAAAGCAAAAGACCTCGGGTTTGGGAGCTAGTCTCCAGCCACTCCCGCTCCACCGCTCCAGGTGCCCCTCCCCTCAGCATCCCCGAGACTGCGGACTCATTCTGGAGTCCAAGCAGGCGCCGCTGCTACCTTGGCTAATGGCAGCACTGAATGAAAGGAGCCGAGGCAGGCTCAGGATTTATGAATGTGCAGGGGAGGAGGGATATCATGTGACAATAAAGGAGAACGTCTTATTCACAAAAAAAAAAAAAAAAGTGAAAGAATACAGCCACTGAACAGCAGCCTCAGAGCCAGGAACTGCTAGGACCCCTGGCTAAGTACCCGCCAGGGCAGACCGGCAGCCCCGCCCCCAGCGCCCCGAGAGGGAAACGCCTCGAACCCAAGAGCGGAGATCCAAACCTATGTGCGACTAAGGCGGGAAGCAGCTGCCACTTGGCCCAGAGACGGTGACAAGCCCGGGTCTCCCCGAGGGGCGAGCATAAGCACCTCTGACTAAGCACCGAGAGCTTTGTTCCCCTCGGGCCTGCGGGCCGGGTACACGCACGGGCACGCGCTCTACCTCACATACATGCCAGGAGCGCGCTTCCCCGCACGCTCTCCCGCCCTCGCTGCACACGCTTCGGATCCGCCCCCAGAGCTGCCCCGACACCGTGGGGCGCGTGTGTCGGCCCACACGCGCGTGCACACACTCACGCGCGCCGGGACTCGGCAGGCTGCTCCCGCGCTCTGGCCGCTGCGCGGACCCCGGCGCACCGACCCTGTGGCGAGCCCGACTGGCCCTCCCCCAACTCCTCCGTGTTTTTATGAATGAAAATGTGGTATGCAAATGAGAGCGATTCAAGAAAACGAAATGGCGGAGCCCGGGCCACAGAGGGCTCCGGTGAGGGCTATGGGGAGGGCGGCAGTGCCAGGAGTCACAAAGTCACCATGCACACAGACCCATCGACCCCGGGATGCCCCGCGTGGAGGGCGTCTGGGCTTCCGCTCCCGCAGCCTGAGGACCGCCCCGAGGTCATTTGCGCGCCCTTGGCCGGGGCTGCGACCTGGACTTGCAGACCCCAGGCGGTTTCTGCCGCCTTCCCCTGCCAAACCAAGAGCCTCTCGCATAGCCCCGGCAGCTCAGCCAGCGGCTGCACCCCACGCCAAGTTCCCCAGATGAGTCCCCTCCTGCGTCCTTGGCGGCGGCCCCCAAGCCGCCCCGCTGAGCGCCCACATCCCACCCGCAGCGAACTTACTCGTCCGGGTGTGTTTCTTCGGTCATTTTCTTGTTCACCTAGACGCCTGTCCCGCGGCGTGCAGCCTGGCTCCCTTCATCTTCCTGTGCGCTCGCCCCCCTTCTTCACATCTCCGACATCTCCTGATTTGGTGGTGGAGGGGGGGAGCTAGAGATGAAGGGGGCGCCGAGGCAGGCGGGGAAATGGAGAGCCCCAAGTGCAGGGCGAGGTCTGGGAAGGGGCGCACCGGGCAGCGTACGCCGTGGGCCGGCCGGGCGCGGCCCCGGGGCTCCGAGCGGGTGCAGGGGCGAGATTTGGGAAGGGGACCCGGAGGGGGAGAGCAGCAGAAAAACAAGCACGCTCGGGGCGGCGGGCGGGCAGCCGGCTGCGCTGGGGCTGGGCCGGGGTCGCCCCCGGGGACCGGGCCAATCAGGGTTCCGGGTAGCGCTCGGCGGCCGGGGGAGGTGCGCCTGGGAGGCGGTGCAGGGCGCCCCGTCCGAGCCCCATCTCGCCACTCCACCGATTTACTCCATATTGGATTCTCAGCGCCGCCAACAGGAGGAGGAAGTAGGGCGGAAGCGATGACGTCTTCCCAGCGGCCAGAGGTGGTGGAGTGCAAAAAGCTTCCTACTTGCGACCAAAATAAAAAAGAGAGAGAGAGGAAAAAAAACACACTCACAAAACACTTTGTCCCGCCTACTGAGCGTGCCCCTCTTCTACTCCTCCTCCCGCTAGCTTCCAGTCCAGGAGGAGTCTTGGAACGGCATGGTTGGCACTCCGTTTGTCGGACTCCGAATCCCCGTCTCCGGGGCTCCGGGTTTTAGGAAGCCCAAGAGGGAGGAGGCGGGAGCCGAAGACAAGAACACATCTGGCTCCCGTTTTGTCCCCTCCCTCCTTCCAAACCTTTGGATTAAAAATCAAGGGGGGAGGTGGCGGAGGGCGGAGATGGGGAGGAGTTTAGATGCAACCAGAGAGTTTGGGTTTGGAGAAACACTGCGGGGGTAGGGGGTGGGGGCAGTGCAGGTGCCCTCCGCTGGCCTCTACATCCCAAGTCTGATAGAAACCATACAAAGAGAGGGATTTGGACTTTGCCAGTGTCCTGTATAACAGAGGAGGTTCAGTTTCATGAGAATCTTGCGATTTTTTTTTTTTTTTGGTTGACAGAGAGCAAGTGTTTTCCTAGCCTGTATCTCAGGGTGTCTTCAAACTTGCCTTGTAGCCGAGGTTGTTCTTAAACTCTTGATCTTCTTGCCTCAGCTTTCCAAGTGATGGCATTACTGTTATGCAACACCATGCACATCTAGAGGGGGCATTTTTTAAAATAGTAATATGTACACAGAAAAAGAAAGGCACACAGCCAAGAAACTTTTGCTTTGCAGGCAGAAATGAAGTTTAAAGGTAACACCAAAGTGAACTAAATTATCTAGTCAGTGAATAATAATGTTTCTTGTCTCCAGCTCTTAGAAGTCCATAGTTTCCTGGGCCACAGATTACTGCCTTTGCTGGGCTTTGGCCAAAGAGAGACCCAGGAACTCCTCATTACTCTAGCCCGGCCTGTCTTTTCTTTTTTAAGAATGTGCAGGGGGGGGGGGTGCATGCATGCATGTCAGCACCATGCGTGGGTGGAGGGGAGAGGTTGTTGGATCTCCTGGAACTGGTTGCTAGCCTCCATGTGGGTGCTAGGAATTAAACTACAGTCCCCTGGAAGATCTTAACTGCTGAGCCGTCTCTTCCCATCTCTCTTTAAATTATTTTTCATACCATGGCCTAGGACTATGAGGTTTTCTGAGAGGACCCATGCACCATCTAGACAATGAATAGGACTGTGCCCAGGACTCAACTTGTAGATTTGCCTGGAATCTGAATTTGTGGTATTAAAATCCATTACAATTTTTGAAGGGGACACCATGTTTTCACTTGGCACTGGATGCCACTAATTACAGAGTCATTGAGTAGTTCCTGAAACCTTGCCAGGGAACAAGGGACGTAATCCCTGTCCCTTTTCTGCTCCTCAAGACTAATAGACATTTCTGTCTTCCTGAATCTGAATATGACATTAGAGACATTCCACTTAGATTTTAAATAGCTAGGAAACAAACTAGGGGGATGAAATATTTGCTTAAAAAATATAAAACTGTTGGACTGAATAATCCCATTCTATGGAGGCTGAGGTAGGAGGATTGATAGTATTTCAAGTCCAGCCTGGTCTACAACAGAGAATCCTAGGCTAGACAGAGCTAGTAAGCAAGATCCAGTCTCAAACAAAACCACACCAAAAAAAAAAAAAAAAAAAAGAAGAAGAAAGAAAGAAAGGGAAAAGAAAAACAGCCAGCCAGGCATGGTGAATCATGTCTGTAATTCTAGCATTCTAGAAGCAAAAAGGTAGGTGAATCTCTGTGAGTTTGAAGCCAGTCTGGCCTACATAATGAGTTCCAGGCCAAGCAGACTACATGGTAAGACTAGTAATGGTAATAATCAGCAACAACTAAAACAAAACCCCCACAAAACGAGAGCAGGCCTCTTACAGGTCTATGCATATTGAGAGTTCCACAGGGGCTTGAAAAATAAGAGTTTCACCTTTGAGTCAGGTAGAAACTACTGGTTTCATGCTTCTCACAACCATTGTCTTTGTGGACACAGATTGAGGTTCCACACTGGATTCTGAGTGGTGAGGACACCAGGCCTCGTGACCTGCATTTTGGTTTTCTCTTAGACGACCTGAGATCCTCACGATGAGGTCTCTATTAATTCTTCAACTTCCACAGGAATAAACAAAGCAAACCTTGTCTTTCTTCGGTTTTTGTTTGTTTTTTTTTGTTTGTTTGTTTTGTGGGTTTGGGGGTGAAAAGATGGACGGGGACCAATGATGGAAGGGGATGTCTCAGCGGACCCATGCCGAGAGGCATCTCTTCCTCCTGAGGGACCAGCCACAGACGGTATAGCATAGAATAGAGTTTATTCAGGGCATGGGGAGGAGAGCTAGGAGGGTAGTAGAAGCAGAGAGAGAAAGAGAGAGAGAGAGAGAGAGAGAGAGAGAGAGAGAGAGAGAGAGAGAGAGAGAGAGCACAGAGAAGTAGAGGCCGGCCATAACCACATGGAGAGAGGGGGAAGGGAAGGGGCAAGGGACAGAGGGGACTTGCAGGCAAGGGAGTAAGGGGAGCAAGAGAGAGAGGAGGGGACAGGCAGCCCCTTTTATAGTGGGCAGGCCTACCTGGCTGTTGCCAGGTAACTGTGGGGAGGAGCATGCCTGGCTGTTGCCAGGTGACTGTGGAGGTGGAGTTTAGACAGAATACTAACGGGGTATTTTTGTTTGTTTGTTTTTTGTTTTGGGGGGTTTTATAGTTGTTTGTTTTGAGGCCATGAAGAATATGAGATATGTTGGACGTGGTGGTAGATACTATTAATCTTGGCAGTATGGAGGTAGAAGCAGGTGGATCTATTGAGTTCAAAGCCGTATTAGTCTACAGATGGAGTTCCAGGACAGCTAGGGCTAAATAGTGAGACCTTGGCTTAAAAAAAAAAAAAAAAAAGAGAGAGTCTGGGGGTTGGGAGGCAGCTGTAGAGTTGCTTAGTGGTTAAGAGCACTGGTTGTTCTTTCAAAGGACCCAGGTATGATTTACAGCACCCATATGTCTGTTTACAGCCTTCTATAACTCTAGTTCCAAAGATCCTCTTCTGGCCTCAAGGGCCCAAGTAGTGCATGCATAGTTATACATACAGGCAAAATACCCATACACAGAAAAGAAAATAAACAAACAAAAAACAGACATTCAGAGCTAGGGAGATTGGTTAGTATGATGCTTGCTTGCCATTCGAGGACCTATGCTCCATCCTTAACACCCACATTTGACGGGCTGCAATTATAATCCCAGTGTTGGAAAGATGCAGACAGGCAAATTCCACAGGACTTACTTGTCACTCCTATGGTCTAACTGGCAAGTTTCAGATTGAAAAGCAAGGTGGATGGCTCCCAAGGAACAGTAACGAAAATGCACCCTCCATCACTGTGTCTAATGAGCTACTTGGGTCACACTGACCTGTTTCTAGAGTTTGTTGTAACGTTTCAGGAGCTATTTGTTTTGTCCCATTGATGTCTTATTTTTCTTATTCTGTTACTCCCACAAAGTATAATAAAGTCATGTTTTTTCTAAAAAAAAAAAACGGAGACATTAAAAAATAAGTATTAGTTTGTTCTGATTTTAGATTTCAATTCGGAAGCATCATTACCATCATTAATCTGAAAATACTGGGCATGGTAGCATCACCTGTATTCCAGGCTAGTGTGACCTGCCTAAAAAACACAGCACAAGCAACAGAACAACAACAACAAAACAAACAAACAAAAATTCAGTGTTTTTTTTTTTTGATACAAGTGTATAGTAGCACAATTTTTTATCTCTGGAGGCAGGAGGGTCAGGAGTTCAAGGCCATTGAGTTCCAGGCCAGCCTGAACTACTTGAGACTCGGTCTTTCAAAATAAAGTGTTGACTCAGATCTTAAAACTTCAAAAGTACTATCGATCTGCTCACAACTTCACGGAAACCCAACACAGCTGCTTGCCTCAAAAAGCTGCAAGCTGGGCAGGGGACGCCCCGTAGCTCTTCCTTTCCCAGGGGGCTGCAGGAAAGCCCGGAGCGCCCCTCGGCGGCTGGATCAGCAGGCTCTGCAGCGGGGCAAGTCCTGCTTTTCAAGCCAGTGGCCCGGCGGGGCGCAATGCGGAACCAACACCTAGGCCTCCCCTGCAGCCGCTTCTCCCCGCCCAAGCTGAGCTACCGCTGTGCGTGGGATCGCAGGCCAGGAGCCGCAGCCCCGGGGCTGTCCTCGCCTCACCCCACTCTGCCCCTTCGGTATTTCTCAATGACCGGCGCTCGAGGACACTTCCGACGTGGGGGAGGGGTGCCACTCGCGCGGCTTTATCAGTTCCTTCCGGCCGCGCCCCGGCTGCTGCAGCGCCTGCATCACTACTCGGGCGAGCAGCCGCGGGTACCCGCTGTGCCAAGGGAGCCCAGAACAGTGCAGAGGTAAAGAGGCTCCGTGGCTCTACAGGGTGAATGGCTCGGGCCCATTGCACAATCTCCGGTATAATTAGCCAAGGGCGGAGGTGCTGGGCTCATCCCCGGGGCAACACACTCCGGGATCATTTTCCCTTTCGGTTGCATAGCCGGGATTTTATTAAACAGACGAAAGTCCCCCGCCCCGCCTCCTTCACGCTAGTGCAAGTATTATGAATGAAACGCCAACACCGCTGCTGCTGAGGTCGCCACTTCAGGTAGGAGGGTGGCTCGACTGTGCTAAGCAGCTCACCAAAGGCTCGGGTATGCATTTGTTCAAGAGAGTCAGAATGCAGGAAGTAATCTACAGAGCAGAGAAGGAAGCATTC